TAACATATTCTGGTTGAGCTCTTCTGTTCCCCTTGAGCTGTGTTGTGTTCCCGACTGGTCCATTTCCAGTCTCCTGCAGTCCGTGCATACCGGTAAAATCGTTCCCCTTTCCTTCCCTCTTCTCCATTGAGGACAATGTCGATCTTAAGTGTGGGGGGATGTTTATCTTTTGACTGCATTAGATCTGTTTGTGTGCTTGGAGCCTAGTCCACTGTCCAAATTTTGAAATTTGAGGGCTCCAAGTACGTGTTCCTTGCAATTGCCTGCTCAGTATGCTTTGAATTGACAGTCTCTGTAGTGATTTGCAACCTAGGGAGGTAGTGTAGCACTATGGAGGATGTTGATGCATTTAAGAAGTCTCATTTCTTCTTCATAGTGTGTTGGTTGATTGAGTGAATTAGTGATCTTAGGACCCTTGAATTGTGTGGTGTTGTGGACTCTCTGCCTGTCATGGACTCTTGTATAATGTTTTGAAAGTAACAGGTGCTCGAAATGTGCTTTAAAATAACGTCTCCCGTGCGAATAGGGCGAAAGTGTGTAAGGGGAGACGGGAATCCGTTCCCAATTTCCACCTACTACCTCCAGCCCCCTTACATGTCTTTCCCCCGCACGAGGCTCGAGACAACTGCTCCTGGCATGGCCGGTAAGAGCCGGGCTCCCGCAAAACCTTTGCTAGGTGGGAGCCCCCGTCTTCTGCAAAAACGGGTTGGAACCCTTGAAAAAAGAAAAGAGAAAAAACAGAAAAACAAGCAAAAAGAAGAAAGAAAAGGGGTTCCAACCATCTCCAAGAAGAAAATCGAGCACCTTGAAAAATGTGAGTCCATGATCTTTTGTTTGTGAGAGTCTCCTCATCCACGATTCATTTGTCCTCTGTTCACTATTTGCCATGATGCTGACTCGAGACTAGTGCTCTCGCCGAAGAAGTTATGAGATGACTTGTGCGTCGGTTGACCTCGTAAGTTGCTAAATGATCTAGGAAGTCCTCTACCTACGATCGAGGTTGGTTGTTGCTACAGAGGTCTGGAGAGTTGCATTGGTTTGAGATAGGTTTGCTTGGGGACAAGCAAACGGTTAAGTGTGGGGGAGTTTGATAGACCGTTAGTTACACATGTTTTTACCCCTGCTCTTACTCCGTTTGAGGTATTGATTCTCGTGTTTTAGGCCGATTTCACGCTAGGTTGTGCTTGTTTATGATATTTCAGGTCCTAGTACGTGAATGGAGGCTTGGGAGCGAGTTTGAGGTCGATTGGACGAGGATCGGACGCATGGCGAGGTTCTGAGGAAGTCGCACGGGCACACCCACAACCCGCACGGCCGTGCACGTGACCAGTTTGGCCGTGCGGGATTGTGCGTGGGCACGCACGGGCACAAGTGAAATCCGCACGGCCGTGCACGTGACCAGTTTGGTCGTGCGGGATTGTGCGTGGGCACGCACGGGCACAAGTGAAATCCGCACGGCCGTGCAAAGTGCAATCCTGGCCGTGCGAGATGGCTGAAGTTCGACTTAATGGTACGCCGCGTTTTGAGGTGCACGGCCAGAATGGTGATGTGCACGGCCGTGCACCCTGGCCGTGCAAGTCGGGAAATTCTGGTTTTTAAGCGGATTCCTAGCCAAGCAGAGGGGGATTCGAGTTTTTGAGAGACAGAGCGGTTCCTAGAGAGAGAAAGCGACGAACAAGAGTCTCCAAGTGCCCTAGATCGATCTTCAACACCATTGGAGCTTGGTTTGAGCTTGGAGAAGTGCCGATTCAACGTCCAGGAGCAGAAATCCATCTTCACAGTATGATTTCCGCGTCTGATTCTGCTTTTGCTTCTCTCTCCATGGAGTAGTTCTCCCATTCATCTGGGTATGGAGAACCCTAGTTCTATATGTTAGGTTTGATTGTATGAACCCAAGTACTGTTTCTATGAATTGATTATATTCGATTGAGGTTTGAATGATTGAATGGCATGAATCCTGATCAAATTCCTGTTGTTTCTGCTTTAACCTAGAATGATAATATCTGCCTAGGTTGATAGAGTATCCTTAATCGAAGGTAGTGAATTGGTGACTTTAGTCGAGGAGCCAATTCACTATTCTGTACCGGTTTTACTCCGGTAGTGGAGGTTTTGTTCTTAGGGCCTCAATCTGTTTACTCCGGTGTAGGTTAGTTGCCAGCTAGAGACTCAGATTGAGAGGGTCTGAAGACCTTTAGTCGAGACTTCAGATTGTTTGAGAACCTTCCGCAGTATAACTATCTTAGAAATTGAACTTGGTAATTACAACCCGGCTTAACTGCAGTCTAGGGGGAACCATATCTGGATGACCTCTCTTAACCTGAATACAACCGTTTAGTTGCTTTGCTTGCTTGTTAGTTTAGAGCTTCACTAAAGTTTCATTGCTAGATAATACGAATTCACTGAGTAGTCATCACATCTAGGACCCGGGTTGACAATAAAACCCAAACCCGCTATACTACGCTTTAGGAAGTGGTTACACTTGGCCATTTTCTAGAGTGACAGTAGGAGTGAGTCACTGACTCAAATGTGCAAGCTCAGTCTGTGGAGTATTATAAAGGGTTACTGCAAAAGTCACTTCCTAACAGTCTTGCTATGGATTTATGTAAACCAATCAGTGCAGAGGAGGTAAAGAAGGTTATTTTTGGGTTTAAAGGGGAGAAAAGTCCGGGCCCTGATGGCTACTCGACCTGTTTCTTTCATCATGCATGGGGTATTGTTGGGGAAGAAATCACAGCTGCCATACAATATTGTTTCTCAGTGTCTGAAATCCCATTGGAGGTAAATTCTACCCTCTTAGCTTTGTTACCTAAGACTAAGAACCCAGAAGAAATGAAAAATTTCAGGCCTATCTCATGCTGTAACATTTTATATAAATGTATAGCTAAGATAATTTCTTCTAGGCTTAGTGAATGTTTGATTCATCTGATTAGTGAGAACCAAACTGCCTTTGTTAAAGGGAGAATTATAGGTGAAAACATTTTACTTGCTCATGAGATGGTTCAGAAGTACAGTAGGAAAAACATGTCCCCCAGATGTATGGTGAAGGTTGATCTAATGAAGGCTTTTGACTCAGTGGATTGGAACTTCCTTACCACTGTGTTAGAGGCTATGAATTTACTCTTAGGCTTTATTAGGTGGATTAAAATGTGTTTTACAACTCCCAAAATCAGTGTTGGTTTCAATGGTGGGGTGGTTGGTTATTTCTCAGCAAAGAAGGGATTAAGACAAGGAGATCCCCTCTCTCCTTATCTTTTTGCTGTTGCTAAGGAAATATTCAGCTGCCTTATGAAGGAAGCTGTTCAGGAAAATAGGATGCCATTCCATCCTATGTGTAAAAGAATTGGCTTAACCCACCTAATGTTTGCTGATGATCTGCTATTGTTTTCTGATGGCTCTAATTATGGAATTCAGTGCATTTAAGTGGTCCTAAATCAATTCAGGGTGCTTTCTGGTCTAGTCTCTAATCCTGCAAAATGTGAACTTTACTGTTGTGGCTTACCAAAGGAATGGCAGGTAAATATGGCAGTTAGGGCAGGTTATCAGTTAGGCTCTCTGCCAGTTAGATACCTGGGAATTCCATTAATTCCTGGAAAACTGACTGTTAAGGCTTGTCGTCCCCTACTGGAGAAAATTGTTAACAAGATTCAGAATTGGGGTGTGAAATCTTTGAGTTATGCAGGCAGACTTCAGTTGGTTCTTTCTGTTCTTTATAGCATGGTCCAATTCTGGATGGCTGTGTTTATCTTGCCTAAGAGGGTGATAAAGGAAATTGAGAAACTGTGTAGCAATTTTTTGTGGGGAGTGGGAACTGAAGGAAAAAGGAAAGCAGTGGCAGCTTGGGGGAAGCTGACTTTCCCTAAAAGAGAGGGTGGTCTGGGATTGAGGGACTTGAACAGTTGGAACCTGGCTTGTATAGTGAGACATATTTGAGATCTCCTTACTAAACAGGGGTCCCTTTGGGTAGCTTGGATTTGGGAATACAAGCTCCATGGGGCTAATTTCTGGACATCTACCTGTAAAACAGGCTCCTGGTTGTGGCTTAAAGTGCTCAAAACAAGGGATATAATCCAACATAATCTTATTATCCAGAATGGTGAAGGGTTCTGGAAGGGTAAACTGCTGAAGAAGTTCTCTACAAAGCTGATTTGGGAAGATCTTAGGCCTCACAGCCCTGAAGTCTCTTGGTTTAAATTGGTCTGGAAATCTCCATTTATTCCTCGAAATCAGTTTCTCAGTTGGCTTGTCATTAAGCAATTTATCTCTACCTGTGATAAAATGATGAGTTGGGGCTTTCAAGGGGTGACTGCTTGTGTTTACTGTGAATGCAGAATTGAGACTCAAAACCATTTGTTTGCTGAGTGTTGCAGGTATAGAGAGCTGTTCAGAACGCTTTACTGCAAACATTGTGTTAGAGACCCCTCAAATTCCTAGACTGATGAACTTCAGTGGGCCATTAATTCTTTCTCATCTTCTGCCCCTCATTCAAAAGTTGGCAGGATGATTTGGCAATCAATGGTTAGTAATATCTGGAGAACTAGATGCTCGATCAGGTTTGGTGGGGCTGTCTTAAGTGTTCCTGATGCTGTCAAGTTGATAAAGGGTGAGGTTCTGATTGTATGTGAAGCAGCTGATGTTGATAAGTTCTTTTGAGTGCTTCTGATGAAGTTTTGGTTTGCTATGGTATTCTTGGCTCTTTTTAGTTAGATAGGAGTTTGCATTCTCCTCAGTGGCAGGGGTTGTTGCCACACAGTAACCTGGTTTTTTTGATGATTAATATATAGCTCGCCATTCATAAAAAAAAAAGACGAAAAAGTTTTGAGAAATGTGTTATAAGAACATGCAAGATTTTAATCATCTAGAAAATTTTTTTTAAATACAATAGCTAATCTTATTAGTATAAATAATTAAATAAACCTCACCAGCGGGGAGTTATCGGAGTTTTGACAGCCCCCAGCGGAACCCTAATTTAACCAGTCGTTCCAAATTTAACACACCAAACAATGTCCTCGGACTCGAACGTAGCATCGCCGGCGCGCAAAAATCCGCGGCGGAGGTGGTGGGATAGTGGAATCGTTTCCGGTTCCAAAAAGAAGGTCACCGTCGCTCTGATGGGCCGTCGAAACAACAAGACGGCCGCCTCCTACGACAACAACACCAACCCGGCGGGAATCCGCACCGCCACCGTTACAGTCGCCCCCAGCAGCGATTTCCGCGGGAAATTCACCAGTATGGGTCTCGCAGTCGTGGATTCGAAATTATACGCTTTCGGTGGTCGCGAATTTAACACCTCTCCCAATGGAAACGACGATTCTGATTCTGATGGCGTCTCGTACTGGAAATACCCGCGAGATCTATACGTCTGCGATCTGGGTACGGACCCCGACATCGGAAAACAACCCCTCGAGCAGGCCCGGCCCAGGCCCTGTGCTGGTCCGACCCACAGCACAGGGCCTCAAATTTTTGGGGCCTCATAATCCATGCTTGAATACCAATCTGGGCCTCGGAATCTGGGCGGAGCTGGCATCATTTGGGCTGGCAACAGCGCAACCCAACTTGGGCCTCCAGAATCTGGGCGGGGCAAGGCCACACAACAAAAACCAGATGTGCAAGGACGGCAACATGCAAGGAAGGGAATCGAACCGGCGACCATCCTTTCATTAAAAGAAGGTTTGACCACCGAGCTAGAGCTTGTTCGTTGTACTTAAACTTTCAGTTAAAAATAAATTGTTTACATCCAATTCCAATGAACTCTTTACCAACGTTCATTCATGCTCCACAACTTGTTTTAAGTTCTAACCTTTTTTTCTTTTCTTTTGCATGGAACTTAATATTGATTGGAAATTTAGAATCATTAATGTTTAGTTATAATTTTTAATTATGTCAACCCAAAAATTTGAAATAAATAGTTCTAAGTTTAAAGAAAATAGAGAATTTAGGAGTTTGGATATTAGTAGCCGATCTTGATGGCGATTCGAAAATTAGAAGTGAAGCTAAACCTTTGGCACAAAACGAACTTGGTGATTTTGAGTTTATTGTTTCATTAGTTATTTGGTTTGAAATATTGCACTCAACAAATTCAGTTAGTAAACATTTACAATCCAAAGATATGCTTATTGATAATATTATTTTAGAAATATATGGATGATTTCGTTTTTCAAAAGATATAGAAAAGATGAAAGGACTAATAAAGGATTTTGTTTCAAATAATACTAAACGATTGTTACTTTTGAACTCTGTTTTCAGAACCGGACCGGAGGCTGAACCGGAAAAGTTAGTGGTTTAAGGGTTCACTGGTTAACCGTTACAAAACCATTGGTGAACCGTTGGTAGAACCGTTAATGATATATAACATATAAGGCTTGTATATTACACTAATTTAAGAATGAAATTATCATTGACCATAAACAAGTTCAAATTCATATCATCACGAAAATATCTAATAAATCATTCCAACCATCTCACAAAAGAAACCATATTTTTTAATTCAAATTAAAAATTACGGTTCTAGTTGGTAGTAGGCAATGTAAAATCGATAATAAGGTTGAGGAAGCATATATAAAATAAATAATGATTTGATGGTCTTAGTTTTATGTTAAAATATTTTTTTTCCGTTAAAATAGTGAACCAATGGACCAGTTAAACCGTGTCGGTTCATCTGATTTTATGTTGAACCGTGAAAAACCATTTGGTCCATCAATAACCGTTCAAACAATGAACCGAACCGCTATCGTAACTGGTTTGACGGTTCTACTGGCCCGGCCGTTGATCCGGTTCGGTTCTTATAACAAGGCTTTTGAACAATGATAAATGATATTATTATTATTATTTTTGTAATAATTTTTGAACTTATGTAATTTTTATTATTATTTAATAATTTTTATTTTTAATAAATTTGCAAGAAAAATTTTGAGGCCACATTTTAAATTTTCGAACAGGGCCTCCGAATATCATGGGAAGGCCCTGCCCTCGAGTTCAAGCGATACCCAGGCCGGCTAAAGGGACCCAAGGTCGAGCCGATCCACGTTCCTTACAAGAACGAGAAGATCTTCATCCTGTCGAGGGTTTACGACCCCTTGTCGTTCAGAGGCCTCTCTGCCCCTTGTGAGGTTTTGAACCTCAACGATCTCTCCACCCAAACCCTCGATCCGCCATTGGAGATGTGGGATCCCCAATTGATCCTAAGGTACGATACGCTTCCGGATTACCTGGGCCATGTAGTTGTGGGGGATGAATTGATTGTCTATATGCACACTTTTGTTGGCTCCTCTGTTTTTGCTCTGCACATGGAACAGCTGAAGTGGCGTCGAATCATGACTGAGTATGCTGATCATGATGACATCTCGCCTATGGTGCCCAACCTGCTGCTGATGATGTACCCGTGGGATCGGCTTCCCGAGGCGTTCTGCTCGAATCTCGTTCACAACGGTGCCGGATCATCCCCCGTTCGAGGTGATTCGAGTTAAGTACTACAAGTCGAATGGTGGTTCGGCGAGCTATGATGTGCTGCAGCAGCAGCAGCATAAGGTCAGTGATTTGCGTGGTCTGCGCTGGGTCTTGTACCGGCTGATTGTAAATTTGGGGACGCCAGGGTGGTTCCTTTTGGAGATGGTGGTGGTGATGTCTACTGCCTCGTTCTCTGGTGGGGAGTTAATACGTGGGAACTGAGGAGCCAGTTCAAGGTTTGCAAGTTTAGATTGGTTGACGATGATGGTGGTTGTGAGATCTTGGACACGGTGGAGGATTTCAGTGCTTTTTCACAGGATTTTGCTTCCTCTCGTGTCACGGCCTTTACTACCACCAGCTATATAGGTCTGTAAAAAAAAATTCCTCTCTTTGTTGAGTTATAATTTTGTTGTGATGGTGATTGTTTATGAGTTTGTTTCTTCGATCGTTCCAACTATAAACTCATTAACACAAGATTCCTATATTTTGTGGATAGGCAGAGATGGGTGTTTGGTGAAGAAGAAGAATAAGAAACGAGGATTCTTGTGGGAGTGGGAAAAGAAGAAGAAACGAATTGCCATTCTGATGATCAGTAGTTTTCATCAGTCATCGGATCATCTCAAAGCGCGCGCAGAGCATGTATATGTTTGTATTATCAATTCTTTACGGTCATTTTTGCTGATTTTCTGGCAGAATAACTCATCCATAGCATCCAATCGAATTTGAATAAAAATCTAATGGATATGATCATTTACTGGGGTTTTCCCAAACCGGAAACGAAGAGCAACTAGCTTGGTGCGATTTTGGTATTTTAAAAAGTCTCACCAAATGCACTCAAATATGTACTATAACTATGTTCTAGGCTTACTTACTTATTTTAACATTTTAGTCATCCATATCCTTCAAACATTATAACTATGTGTCACACGATTGGATAATGTCACACGTGTCGCGCGGTTGGAGAAGCATTGAAGAATATTGGAATTGATGGAGAGGGGTTCAGTTGTGAGCTTGAGCCCAATTGAAAATAAAGAAAGCGAAAAATCAACAAGATTGTGACTAGCCCTAAGTTAATTGACTCATATTCTTCGGAAGCTTGTTACTTTGTCATTAATGGGTTGATTGAATACTGATTGGTTCACTAAATTCGATAACATTATTTTATGAAAGTGTAAAATGAACAAGATTGTGACTTTTAGACGGGCTTGGTGTTTCAAATTTGTAAGGAACAATCGAGAGTCAATAACTTGTATACACTCTTCATGTAATAGTAAAATTTGAAAGGAAACAAGTTTTTATTAATTTAGACCGAACCAAAAAGTTGCTAATTGACTCTTAACAAGCATAAGGAGCACTTGGATTGTAAAGCAAGCTATTACCGCCAAACTCAAAAAGGCGTTGCAAAGTACCCCCAACATCTCCTTTATCAATAGCTCCATAGTGTACTCTATCATCTAGATAAATTTCACAATCTGTGGGATTATAATCAACGTTACTATTTTCATCTACAGTCCTGATTGAACTAGCATAACCATCTAATTGTGTGTCTCCAATAGGCCGACAACCAGACCCCATTGGCGGGATGGTAGTACCTGGAGGACTATAAACTTCTCCTCCCCATTCCACATTGCTCGCAGAATCTGCTAATCCGTTGAATATTTCTGCAGGCCAAAACCCTAAAACCTTTTCACGAGCTCCAAATCTGAGAACCCAATCTCCACTGTAAAGATCCTGCTTCCAAAATGAAATAATCATCGACCTCTGAAATTTTGCTTTAGACATTTTGATTCAACTATCTCTTTGAAAGAAAATAGAAACAATTTCATATCAATAAATAACACTAAGGTGTATATGTAGTGTTCGCCGAGTATTACGAGATTACCTTGGTAACATTAAAGTTTTGTATAAATGTCGGTCCACCTCTTTTGGAAACAGGTCGAAGAACAATATCCAATGGTATCTCATGATTCGTCAATACAAATCCAGGGCAAAAGGTGTTGTAGCAATGTACATTGTTCGTCTAAGAATGCCAATAATAATAAATGTGATTATAGTGATGATGACAATAACAAAACAGCAACAAAAACATCATTATCATGATGTGTCGAAATACTCACATTTGTGTATATGAAAAGTCGAGTTTGTGTATCTTGGTACAGGCTCGGATTAACCTGAAACATAAAATATGAAAAATGGGATTATGTATAATCATATAATGAATATATCACATGGAGCTACGTCAAGGATGAAATGTTTTAGACAAGATCATTTCACTACTTACTGTCCATCCTACTGCAATACTATCCTGACCGTTTGCGAATTTGACACGACTAGATGTGTATTGATTGGCTTCAACGTTATGACTATATACGGTAGTCCACATTCCGCCTCCATGGTACCTTTTGTACCCAGTAGACCTGAGTACCGCAACCTACATGACAAAAAACATAGTTCCAGACCAAGTTATAAATATGATTACTATATATATAAACAATAAGAACTCCATATATACATGAAATTCATATTCATTAATAATATGAAAATTAACCAAGAATAATCTAGCTAGCGATATTTAATGCACACTTCCTAGCAGCATCTCCTGTTTGGGTGTAAGGCATGCATCCTTGTCATTTTGAAATGTGGTGTAGGATCAAATGATGTCCACATGATATATGCAATTAAGTGATCTCGTCCCTTAATTTTAACTGGGTTTAGATATGAAGGTTGAGATTAAAATGCTTTTTAAAACCTTTTTTTAATCAACTTGTATCTTTTCGTTTTAATTCATGTTTTGAAACTGTAAGCATAGAGAATTGCTTCATTGTGATCTCAAAATGATATAATTTTTTATATTTTCAGAGAACATTTTTTTTATCATCCGGTACCACCCTCTATCACCATTAACCTCATTTTTTAAACTCAGAATTTTAAAAAAATTCGGGTTCATTGTGATTTATCAAATGTTATATTATTCGAGGAAAAAAGACTTTAGGACCAATGATTACACTCTCTAAAATAGTGGTAGATGATGATTAGTATATCCTTACCAATTCTATACTATGATTGTTCCAACCACCATGGTATAATCTTCTGTACCATCAAGCTCTATCACCATGCTATACTATGGTAAAAACCGTTTCAATTAATGTTTTACTTTTGTTTTGCTATGAAATATATCAAACTGGATGTCATTTTATAATAAAATGATTTTTTAATTCATAAATTATATATTATCCGTAACATTTTATTGGGGGTAATGTTAATCATGGCTGAGTAACCACTAACCATAGGTACTCGCCGAATCTACTTCCATAAATGATTACAAAGTGTTTTTTAATGTTAATAAATGATTTATAAATGCTATATCAGTATATCGAATATTAGTAAATTTTAATATATAATTTTACATACTATATTATTATTTTTTTAAAATGTAAAAACTCTTGGTTAGCCATTTATAGAGAATTCATAGAAAACCTGATTACAAACAATAAATGGTGTATTACTATTATATGCACTTGAAATATAAGATATTACATAACCATGCTTGATTATTGTAACTTACATGAACACCCGGATTGAGGTCGGACCCAAGGGAAGCAGCTAAGTTTGCTTTGACCAGATCATTTTTTGCAGTTTTTCTAATTGGCACCATTCCAATTGGACATCCTTTATCATTTAACCATATGTTTGGTGGTTCATCACCAGATGAGGTTGAGTTAGTTGCTCTTACTTCCGAACCTCGAAAATAAGAGTTGATCATCTGCGGTGAATTAAAACATAAAGTTATTACATACCAATACGCATCATCAACTTAACTAAATGCATTACACAAGGAATTGGAATATAGCACTCATACCTGGAAATTAAATTTACGATTCTTCAATGCAGGGTGATCAAATGCTGGTTGATCGTAGAAATCCGTACAATTATATGTGTCTCCATATATTGTCTATTTGATTATAAACAGAGAATAAAAAATTTAAAAAATTTTGATGCTATTAATTACAATTATTATATTAAAAAGAATACATATTTGAGACAAAATGATTCAGCAACGTAACCTGGATGGTGGAAACAACTCGCTTATTCATATCATAAATTTGTTTTCTAGATCTTCCAAACACCATCTGGGCTCTAATGACATTGTGTTCTGATAACAAGACAAACCATAGTAAAAGAAATATGAAGGCATAGCTAGAGTTTGAACGCCTCATGTTCTATCTTTAATCTCCTGCAATAAATAAAAGTTCTAAAGATATGAGTTAATATATAAAAAAGAGGACATTTATTAAGCTCGCTTCAATACATTTGTAAGACACTTACACTTGCTTCCCTCTTGAATTTTCTTTGTGTATATTTCAAATGAAATTGTATTCTATGATTCTACTCATGAATGTCCGTGGTCTTTTTATAGAGGGAAAGTCTTATTATGTCACTTAATTATAATTTTGGTTAGTTCAAACCATTCAATGTATTCAAAAGTACACTAAAATGGAAATGTACCATAACATAAGATAACAATGTAAATATTAACAGTAATAATATAAATATATTATCCCTAATAAGATAATTTTACTTATATAGTCATTCATTAAAATTAATGATTTTTTTATATATTATAAAAAAATTACCTTATATAGTGGCCAGTCAACAACAATATCTCTAATGTTAAATTTTCTCCTTATATAATCGGGTAAAAAGATAAGAACATAAAACAATTTGTGTCCATAAGACAATAACATAAGAACATTCTCTTTTTTGTGTTTTATATATTTAAAGCAATAATATCAACACAATCCTCTCTTTTCTTCTCATATTCCTAATAAAAAAATTTACATTTTATTTCTTTCGTTGATTTTCCCCCCCGATTTCTCACATTTCTCCTATGAATCTAGAAGTGTCTATCTAGTGGCGAAATGAGTCATTGCATCCATAGATAGACTACTATTTGAGTTTTGTTTCAAAGTTCCAGGTGTATTGTAATTTATCGTTTGGGTCATTTGAGAATTGGAGTATGAATTACGAGATTTTAATGTAGTTTGATGATAACTGTGATGTTTTGATGTAAATGCAAAAATAACTCACAAATCAGAAATAATACTCTGTTGTTAGTAGAGATTTGGTATCCCTATTGTTTAGAGATGTAAAATATCTAGATCTAGAATCTCAAATGCTAAATTAAACAAAAAATAAATTTCTTGCAAATATATGAATTCTATGAATCCGTCCTCTGAATCACATTCTCAAAATTATCCTTTAATATTTTTTTTCCCTTCTTGAGTTATTTATGGAAAGGATAAATAAACAAGAAGAATAATCCATCCATAATGTAGTTCTAGATCCATGGCTCATCATGGCTCCAAAGTCTACG